ATAACACAACCAGTATATATATAGAGTATATAAGTCTGAAAACTGCATGAAGTAAAAGTTTTGTGTACGGAGTGTATGCTAATCTTAGTTGATAAGCCTTTCTGCCTATAGTTCTAGGTTTCTCCCATCATATTAAGAAGAATCAGACTGGTGACACTAGATAATCTGATTATTCAAAGGGCTCTTAAGATCGGAGTCAGATAAAACTGACATAAGTCTGACTTACGACACTTAAGGTGGATTTACGATGGAGAGGCTGCGAGCGTTGTCAGGGCGAAAAGAACGCTACTCCACCACTCCCCTCGCTCCTTCAACACTCGCAACGTCTCAATCATAAATCCACACTAATGGAGCAGGTTCCTTTGAGAAAAAACTCACTTGGTTTTACCGGTTTTACTTGGATCCAGCGACCAGATAGGGTTATAAAGGGCAAGGGCTTGGGTTAAACATAGTTCCCTTCTCTTCGCATAAGCATTGACGTCAATCGTTCACATCGTTTCCACCAAAGAAGTAAGAATTAGAGATAGGTACAAAAATGTGCCGTCGCACGCCCTTTTACCAACTTTTACTTAACAACGCTCGAGGTGCAAGAGGAAGAGGTCTTCTGCTACAATTTGTGCATTGAATAAATAAAAAAACAACAACAAATGAAACGGTATGAGAGACTCACCGCCTTAGAAACCCATGCAAAGTGTATGGGGAAAAACGTTCTCGACAGCTCAGGACCCCCTAGCACCCTCTAACTAAATGCAAGCAAATCCACCATCCTGCTGTTTTGTTTCATGTTGTTGATAGCATTGTAACCAACTTACAGGATTGGGAGTGCTTGAGTGGCTATAAGGGGCCGTTCAAATATTACGTCACGCTTTTTTGGGCCATTTTTGGACCCCCCCCTCCCCCTTGTCACACTTGGTCACGCTTCGGACTAACCCCCCCCTCCCCTGTGACGTCACATTTTCCTATATTGACCCCCCAGCTATTAATTTCGGTCAGATGTTGTTTTTTATGTGTTGTAGGGGCATTTTTAGAGCGAGAATGAAATAAACTGAAAAGTAGAACGAATGCTGTTTTTAATTCTAAAGAAATGACAGTGTGAAAAGTCTTTCTTATTAAAAACATGCAAGTCTTTTCATAAAACAAAAACGATTGATTTCTCTATGTTTAACAACATAATAAAATAATTAAAAAGAAGCAGTCTCATTAGAATTTAGTGAAAAATAAAACAGTCTTGCTCTGACTAGGCATAGGCACTCGACTAGGCGCTCGACTAGGGGTCAGCGCGGTCCCAAGGTGAGGCGATCCACTCTCCCACAGAGGGAATCACAGGGCAGGCTGTGTCAGCCACTGGCATCTCGACGTCAACGCCGACCACGTCAACTTCCTCTTCGTCGTGCCATTCCACGCCGACGGTCTCGTGGTCGTACAGGACCTTGCAGAGGACCTCGTTGGCGCGGCGGCCGACGACAGTGCTGGGGCGCAGCCTGCTCGCCGTTGTCTTGTCCACACTGGTGCCGTGCTGAACTCTGCTGTGGAGGGCCTTGTTCTCCTCATTGGTGAAGTAAATGCCACAGTGGCGGCAGATACGTTTAGCAAGACGTGACCTCACCGTTGGGCAGTACAGGTCATAGGGAATCCTTTTGAAATTCTGCTGAAGGTCTACCTTGGAGGCGAGGCGAGGAAACAGGGGCAGAAAATGTCCATCTTCTGAGTCAGGATCTGCAGCAGTCACCCCGCTGCTGGTTTGGTGAACCCTCACGGGCGCAGGCAGGAAGCCGCTGAGGACGGAGGCCAAGCTGCTGCGGGGAGGTCCACAGCACACCATGGAGCTGCAGCGGACGACCTGCAGCAGATACTGGCTCTCACGCACGTGTGTCGCATACCAGTGCTGGTCCACGGCCTCGGGCGGCTCGGACTCCCCGGGCTCGATGTACTCGGCGAGAACAGGGTGGCCGTCGATGGTCATCCCCGACCATACTGCAGCCAGAGTCTCACCGGCCTTCTTGAAGTTTTGTGCTTCAATTGCCTCGTCGATAGTGTTACCCTGGCTGTCAAGGTGGGTGCCATAGTAGTCATGAGGCAATATTATGCCTGCCATTCTGTTGCTCAACGGCGCCATCCTGCGCTCCACCCGGTTGTAAGCCGAGCGTCCTGGTGCATTGGTGGCCACGAAGATGGCATCTAGGTCGTACCGTTTGAAGTGTTCAACCGCACAGGCGATGTTCTTCTTGTAGCGGGGGCACTCATCCGGGCCGCCGTCAACTGTCATCATGACGACGGGCTTCATGCGGCCGTCACTGGTTTTGAAGCATTTCTTGTAGACATCCATTTCAGCCATGCGGCGGAAATCGTCAGCGTGGGTGATGGCCGTCGACGAGGAGTGCTTTCCACTGCGGATACAGATGTAGGTGGGCCCAGAGTAGGTCACAGCTTCAGGCTTCCCGAGCTGATCTTTCTTCACCTCGATGACAGCTGCGACGCTGGGGATGAGGTTGTGCCGCGGCCCGACGGGGAAGTCATGATCCGGGAGGGACACCCTGTAGTCGAGGCTCATGAGCATGGGCGCTTGTACTTTTGCAGCTGTCTTTCCCAGCGGTATCCGGGCTTTGTCGTCCAAGGATATAAAAAGCACCTCATCTGGCCCGAGATACCCCGCCAGGGCCTCAAGGTAGCGGATCGAGCAGGTCGCAAACTTTCCATCAGGGTGCGTCTTGTGGGCACTGTTTTGCGCTTTCACAAGGCGCACTGGAGCAGTCCTCACATGCCGCTGGCCCTCTCGTGTGTGAGCGTCGCGAGGAAGAAGATGCAAGTACACTCCACTCCGGCTCACTTCAAAGCCCCGCCTGCCCAGCTCCGCGGTCAGCTCGTCCAGGGTCTGGCAGGTGTTCAGCCGCTCGTCGCGGCGTTTCTCCTCCGCCCCGCTGGAGAACATGGCGATCTCAACGATGGTCTTCAGAAGGTCCGGCTGTTGAGACACAATGCTTGGCCGGCCAGGCGTTGCTTTCGGGTCGACCTGCGACTTCACCTCTGGGTATTTTTCAGAAAGTCCCTCTAATTTCTTTTTTTTCAGTAGCCTGCTCTTTGCTGAGCGTTTTGCAGCAGCCTCTTTACGCTTTAGCTGTTGCTTTAGCGAGGCAAGTTCTTTGGTTAGCTGTAAAAAAATGGAGCGGTATAAAAAATATGTTTGCGATAGAATGATACTGCCACGCAATTTCAAAAGCTAAAATACCTTTTTGATCTGTGTCTCATTGTCTCCTGGGGCCAGGCCAGACCGCCGCGCCAGCAACTTCGCGTTTAGCTCACTCTCTACGACACGGATCTTCTGCCCAAGAAGCTCCTGGGCTGGTCTCGGTTTCGGCGCCCCCAGCGCGCGATCAGAACCTGCCAAAAATACGATTTCTCATTAATTGGAAGCGCGGGGGGAGGGGAAAGGCGACACTAGCCGCCAGACGGTGTATTCCCCTTCACTACGTCGGCGCAGGTGCGCCCGCCGCCGCGCCGGCCGCCGCGGCGTGCGAGTGTGGGGGAATACACCTGCAGGCGACTTTTAGCCCGTGATTTATTCACTACGAAACGCGTTTGAAACAGATTTCTTGCCGCGTATTATAAAATTACTTGAGAATAAATACCTGAATTCGTCGGGTCATCTACATCCGAGTTTTCTGATTCAGCAGCGCCAGGGTCGCCTGCACCTCCGGCGCAGGGCTCGGCGTTGTTCGAAGCAGAGCTTGCAGGTGGATCCGAGGCACAGGAGGAGGAAGCAGCAGGACCCTGAACATAGGAAAATTCGGTGTGTTTTATTTTCAAATGACAGGCAGACAGAACAAAATGTGGTACACACAAAACAATGCGCACGGCACACGGGCAACATAACCTCAACCCGCTCTGACGATCCACAGAGTTCAAAAGATTCCTGTATCAAAATTATGTGAACTCACCTTTGAGAAGAAGCTCCGTATGTTTCCTTTTCTCATTTGCGTCTGCTCACGAGCGATCAATGCTTTAACTTCATTCTCAAATGACTCGTCGTCCTTCTTGTTTGGAAACTTCTCTTTGATTTTATTCCACTCTTCCAAGCAGAGCGCTTGCACTTTCCCTGGAGCCCAACCCGTGTGGCTGTCTTTCAGAATGCGAAATAAATCTTGATACAGCTTATTTCTATCGATCGGCATGTTGATGCGCCCTACCACCACGTGAACTTGCAGGTTACCGTGCTGTGTCCTGTTTGTTATTGTGAATGTGGGCGGTAGGCGTTTGTTCCGTCTGACTGCGCGCAGTAGCGGTGCTCACCGCAAGATCGCGCCAGTCGCACCACGCACGGCTCGGCCGGCCGAGCTCACCAAATGGCGCGCGCGTTTCAAAATTAGTGATTATTTTCATCGTGTGGAGTGAAGTCAAAGTGTGACGTCACATGGCCCCTCACCCCCCCGCCCCCCTTGTCACAGTTAGTCACGTTTTGGACTAACCCCCCTCCCCAAAAA